AGCTATAATTTCACACAATATTTATGTACACCTAATCATATATTGTAATCTCTCTCTCTCTCTCTCTCTCTCTCTACATTTGGAACTTGGAAACTATTTTTCCTCTTCATAGGCTCTTCAAATTATTGTGTGCTCTAGTGACACAGAATTATGAAAGGTTGCATTGTGATTCATTTTGTTATATTAGTGCATGGATGAGGTTGTAAACCTCGAGAGGAAAACAATGTCTTCCTTCATTCTTGACGTTTAAGCAAGATCAATCTCATGAGTTTATTATCCTAGGTTGGAACAAGTTGCTAGATTCCTTTTTTTACGTCCCCTTGTCGCAATATGAGGCGAAAAAGCAGACAGAGGTGTGGGTTTCTCTCGCTTTTGCATAGCTGCCTCCAATAGAGGTTTGCACGACATGCTATTATAGACTAATCAAATTGCTTGTTTGAACTACTTTAGCTCTAATACTATATTGAGATTTAGGGTTCTATCTTAAAAGGTTGAGTTCTTAATTAAAGACTTTAGATTTTTTTAGATCCAAAATGAATTATATTGTATTGTATTCAGAAGAGCTCATAAAACAAGTGACATCCCTTGAAAAGGGTATTAAAATTCTTGATTTTATCTTGAGGTGGGTGCTCAAATCAAAAACAGCAAGAAGTTATTGTCCCAGTTTTAAAAGGCTTAAAGCTCCAAATCCATGATAACAACACAGTGTTAAACATTTTTCTAGCATTTATTCTTCTTACTATTAACCTCGTTTGGCCTAGGGCTAGACATGGTTCGGTTCTAACGAGAACTAAACTGGACCCGAAATTTTTGGATATTTAGTACGTGGAACCATCGGATCCAAATTAATTATGGAACCGTTCAGGTTCGGTTCCATTTGGTTCGATTCGGTTCGGTTTGATTCGACTTTTATGTTCTATATTATAATTAATTTTTTTAATATTTACGAAGTTACATTACTTCAACTAATGATATGTTAAATCTTATCTCTTACAAAATAACGTAGTCTAATTTTATATGTCTTTTGCATCTCTCTTTGCTGAGTTCTTCATAGATTTGGTTGTTAAAATCATAGGAAGAGGAAGATAATAAACTCACAATAATTAATAGAGGTGTTGTTGAGCTTCAATTCGATTTCTCCATAACGATAGAAATGGCACTACGATAGATTAACATAATTTGATCAAACTTAGGTCAATTTGATTAAATTGATTTTGAATTGAAAACTATAAATAGGAAAATTATATTTTTCGGTTTGAGCTAAATTAACTAGTTAGCAAATTTATTTAGAAAAAATAAAATAAATTGGTTTATCTAAAATAAATTAATTAAAAAAATTAGGGATATTGGATTTTTATTCGATTCTTGATCTAGAATCGAGAACTGAACCGAACCCATTGGTTCTCGATTCAGATACTCAATTAGGTATTTAACATGGAGAATCGCTTGGTTCGATTTGATTCGGTTCGGGAGTTTTGTCCTGCCCTAGTTTAGCCCCCATTAAATTTCATTCATTTTTTCTTTCCTATTTTCAACCACACAATCTTCTGTAAAATAATATTACACATAAATCGAAAAGTTTTCTTACTTTTACAACCACTCATTTTTCAAAAAATAAATAAATAAATAAAATTATTCCACCCATTTTCATTTCAAAAAATGGGGGCCAAAAGGGGGCTAAATTACATCACGTCCCCGTCACCTTAATGCATCAATGGGAAACTTCTTTCTTCTATGTAATCTACCGCAATGATATAACATGAACAGTAAGGTGATGAAACATCCTAAATCAAGACTAAACATGAACAATTTCTCTTCTCCCCACTATTCTATTGGTAAATGGCTTCTAGAGTTTGGCTTAAAAGCACACCATGTTCGTTTCAAATCATATTTGTAGCTTAGCATCCGATGCGAATCCTAGTAGAGATATTATATGGAAGTCTATCCAAATTAAATACTTATTTTGGGAAACATAATTAGAATTTTATTTCATAGGTTTAAGAGTAGTTTTTATTATTTATTTAGTTGTTTTCCCACTTAAATTAATTTACTTGATACCTAAGAGGGTTTATGAATTGTAACATTTGGGCATAATTATTCAATAAACTCATATTCCCCTCTAGTTTCTCTTTATTCTCTCCCCTTTCTTCTCTTTTTTCCTCTTAAAAGTCTCATTCTTGATCATTGCTTTATACATCAATTACTCTATCCTATAATTGTTTTGAATGGATAATTAGTTATTTGCATCACATTTCAAGCTTCATCAGTTACAACATATAATAAGTATATCTGTTAATGGTCCAAACAGGGAACAAGGAGGCCAAATTAAAATCAATGCCTGAAGCTCAAATATTAATAAACAAAAGAAACCTGTAGCTTTGCAGTCTTAAAACGCTGAAAATAAATTAAGTTTTACCACTACAACTTCCTCTCTGAACAAAAGGAAGATTTAGCTCATTTAAAATGTCAACTACTCTAACAGTGGATTAAAAACTGAGAAGCAACGTTGCACTACTAGCATTAACATATCGGTGTCCGATACATAACGGATACAGGTTTGTCTCCGATACATAGTCGATGCGTGTCGGAGGTCCCAAGGGCGTGTTGGAGATACAGAAGAAATGAAGTCGACGGTTGATAATGGTAAGCAAAATCGATGGTTGCACGCTCATTAAGAATAAATGCAAAGATGGTTGGAAGAAGTGATTGAGGAGGAAGAAGAAATGTAGAAGAAGCATGTTTGGATTGGTTTTGGAAATGAAGAGGCATTGTATATGTTTTAAGAAATAAAAAGACGTGTTTGGACTTTGGGAGCTAAACTCTATGATTGAAATCAACTACGAAAATGCAATTTGTACACCGAGGTAAATACTCTGGTGTACACTCCCCTCACATGAGAGGATGGGCCTCACAACAATAAATAAATAGTGGAATTCCCCCATCTGAAGGGAGTGTCAACCTCAAAGTATATGTAGCAAAACTCGATCAACTATTCAAATCACATGTGTTGGTCCCCAAAACGTTAAATAGTCCACACAATTTTCTTTTTCTATATCTGTTAGATAGGCTTTCTTTTCAGTTTTACCCTTAACAAACCAAAAAAATTATTTTTTACCATTTTACCCCCAATGAAAATAAACTTACAAAGGAAATCAAATCTTCGATCCCCTCTCTTTGTAACGGTAATACATGAAAATTGGAAAAAAAAATTATTACTTAAGACTATTAAATTAAAAAAAATATTTTAATCAACGTGTCGACTATGTATTGTGTCGGAACTTTTTCAAAAAATCATGTACCGAACACTTGTGTCCGTGTCTGTGCTTCTTAGATAAAAAATAAAATCGGGAATTCAAGAACATTTGCAAGGTATCTGTTAGAGCATGTTGAGCAACTTTCGATGCAGTGTAAGCACCTACCCATGTACAGGGGCGAAATAGTGATGCTTTCGGTGTTCACAATTTTTCCTTTCTTCCTAGACACAATGTGAGGGATCAAGGCTTGGATTAACCTCAATGCACCTATGTAGAAAAACACAATAACGACCTTAGTTTAAAAAAAAATGTATGAGATGCCAAAGAAATTAACAAGTAGTTTAGCAATTAATCAAATACAATTGTTTATCACCCTAAAGAAGAATAAGGAAATTAACAGAACGTATTCATATTTTGAAACATAAGAAATACAGAAAAACATGAAAAGTGATCTCATAATGCTAATTTTAGGAAAGAGTGCTCAGGCACATAAATTCTAAAATCATAAAGGAAAACAATATTCAATATCACTCCAATTTTAGGTGTCAAAGAGAAAGGAGTTATGTACTAATCATGAACATGGCAAGAGACTTGAATATGAGGGCTTCTGTGATCAGAACCAATACTCCTATAACAGCGGTCTTACAGCAAGAAAATACTTGGAAATTTGTAGCTCAAAAGTAATCACAATGACCTAACTAGGTATATTAAAATCTATTCACATAAATTTCGGTTCAGAACAACGCTCTCTCTAACTTCCCCTCATTACGGGGTGTCTCTGCTACCTAAACCACCGAACCCTTTTAAAAGTGACACCAACCCACCACCCATACCAACCAGCAATCGGCCACCACCTAATATATACACTAGAGGACCCCTTAATTAGACCAAATTCTACTTGATCTATCTGATGTATTGCCCATTATTTTGGAACAAGACTTGCTTGTTTTTATTATCTCTTGCTGGATGATGCCTAGTCCCCTCCTAATTTGAACTATTTATTTATTTTTTAATAACATGCCATTACTTGTGGCTTTGATTGTTTTTAAAAAATTTGTCATCAACCACTTCAAAAACTATATAATTGAAATACACAATCATTCTCATCATTGATAATAGCCAAAAGAAACTAGTATATCAACAAAAATAACCTATATTTTGTTCATGAAAGGTGAACTCTATCTGCATTTAACCTCAAACAATAAAATCAGACGAGATAAATACGAAACACAATTTAAAAATTGAAAAGTATCATCTTGAGTCTGACTAGTCCAAGAAATAACTAATTATGCAATCATTTAATCATCAAGTGCAAATACAGTAACACAGTAGCTACAAGACATCTATATCAACTTCTTGAATACAATTCTATCAGCATTTAAACACAATTGTCGAAAGAGCATTTCCTGTTGAAAATTAAACTTGATTCATGAATGATGAAAAAAATTAAATTTGATACATGAATTAGTTTATTTAATATTCATGCATTTATTTAAATAATGTATCCAAATGGTTCTTCGTATCCTATTATTCATAGTATGTAAGAAAAATCATTAATTAGTTTCTTAAGTTCATACAATGTATTTGGAATCCTTTGTACCTATAAAAAACCTTGTGCTTGAGACATTTTATAGAGTCAAGCCATAGAATACAAATATTTTGAGATTTCTCTGAATTTTTCTCTCTAGTCTTTCATCCCATTATTTTTTTTATTTCCAACAAAGTGATATCAGAGCCATTTCAAAGATGAATAGTTCATTTCCTTTTGTTGTTCCCAAACTAACAAAGGGACATTGGAGCATATACATGAAGGCGTTGTTCGGCTCACAAGAGGCATGGGAAGTTGTAGAGAAAGGCTATGATGAACCAGAGAATGAAGGAGCTTTAAGTCAAGCTCAAAGGAATGCCTTGCAAAGGTACCACAAGTTAGATCAATACGCTCTCTCTATTATTCACATGGGCTTAGATGAAGCCATGTTTGAGAAAGTTATGTCCTCAACAAAAGCTAAGAATGCTTGGGAGATTCTCGAGAACAATTTCAAGGGAATTCAAAAAGTGAAAAAGGTTCGTCTTCAAATCCTTCGTGGGAAGTACGAATTTTCGCACATGAAAGAGTCTGAATATGTCTTTGACTATTTCACTAAAGTGTCCTCCATTATCAATCCTATGAAGCGGTACGGAGAAAATATTGAAGAAAGTCGTGTCATCGAGAAAATTCTTAGATCACTTGACTCAAAACTTGAGTTTGTTAGTATTGACATTGAAGAGTCTACTGACTTGGATACCATGACCCTTGATCAACTCATGGGGCCCTTGCAAGCATATGAAGAAAGATTGAAGAAGAAAGGAGAACTGGCGGCTCAAGTTCTCCAAATGAGTGTCTCCTTGGGAGGCCAACAAAAAGAGCAAAGACGATCTCAAGGAAGAGGTCAAATTCATGGTTGAGGTCGTGTTCATGGTTGTAGAGGAAATTATGGTCATGGTAATGAAAGAAATGAAGGAAAACAAAATTTGAATAATGAAGAATCAAGCAATCAATCAAGAGGACGAGGGCATTGGAACTATGGCTCCAAGAGAGGTGGCGGAAGAAGATATAACGAGTCCAATGTTCAATGTTACACTTGTCATAAATATGGTCACTATGCTTCCTAATGTAGGAGTGACACCACCAGTAATGAAGAGAGAGTGAATTATGTTGAAGCAAAGGAAGACGAAGAATTGTTGTTATTGTTGGCAACCAAAGAAGAAAAGGATAAACAATCGTGGTACCTTGACATCGGTGCCGCCAATCACATGAGTGGCAACAAGGAGTTATTCTCAACAATAAATGAGTTTGTAAAAAGCAACATTGTTTTTGGAGATGAAACTAAAGTTCCAATAAAAGGCAAAGGTGATGTTCTTATTTCGTGCTAAAAATGGAAGTCATCTTTTGATTTCTCAAATTTATTATGTACCTACTTTGAAGTCAATTATTTTGAGTTTGGGACAATTACTTGAGAATGGTTATGACATTTACTTGAAGAATCGTTGCCTTACTTTGAGCTATGTTTCTCATAAACTGATTGCAAAGGTGCCAATAGAGAAGCATAGAATGTTTTTACTCAATGTTAATGTTGACCATTCAAGGTGTCTAGAAGCTTGTGTTGAAGACAATTATTGGCTTTGGCACTTAATATTTGGTCATTTATATTTTGGTGGCTAGAAGACCTTGACGAATGAAGAAATGGTGAATGGGTTGTCAAAAATTAATCATCCCAATCAACTTTGTGAAGGATTCCTCGTTAGCAAGCAAACTAGAAGAAACTTTCCACAAGAATCCACTTCAAGAGCAACAAAGCCACTCCAATTTGTTCATGAGGATGTGTGCGGACCAATCTAACCACTCTCTCATGGTAAAGTAAATTATTTCTTATTATTTATTGATAATTTTTCTCGCAAGACCTAGGTTTATTTTTTGAAGACGAAAGATGAAGTTTTTAGAGCATTCAAAAAATTCAAAGCGTTTCTTGAAAATGAGAGTGGCAACTCAATTAAAGTATTAAGGACGGATCAAGGTGGAGAATTTACTTCCAAGGAGTTTAACAATTTTAGTGATACCAATGGAATCTGGCATTTCCTTACAGTTCCAAGATCACCGCAACAAAATGGTGTTGTGGAGAGGAAGAATAGAACCATCCTCAACATGGTTCATAGTGTTCTTATGAGCAAGAGTATAGGGAAGGAGTTTTTGGCTGAGGCTGTTGCATGTGTCGTGTATTTGTCTAATCTTTCCTCGTCAAGGGGTGTTCAAGACATGACTCTACAAGAAGTTTGAACTGGTAAGAAACATAGTGTTTCTCATTTACATGTTTTTGGTAGTATGGTCTATATTCATGTGCCAGACGAGAAGAGATTAAAACTTGATGAGAAAAGTGAAAAGTTTGTTTTCATCAGTTATGATGCAAACTCTAAAAGCTACAAGTTTTACAATCCTTGCAATGGAAAAATTGTTATTAATATAGATATGAAATTCAACGAAGGAAGTTGGTGGGATTGGAATGATCCGAAAAATGAAGAATACGTGATATTTCCTTTCCAAGAAGGAGACCCTTGCCAAAATGCAAGTGAAGATGTCACTCCACCGCATTCTCCTGCTCCTCAATCTCCTCATGATAGTCCTTCTGAAGGATCGAGTCGTATCAAAAATCTTGCAGAGATTTATGAATAAACTGAAATTGTTGATAATCTATCTTTGTTTTGTCTCTTCCCTGACATCGAATCATTGAACTTTGAAGAGACAATGGAAGACAAGAGATAGAGGCATGCAATGGATGAGGAGATCCGAGCAATAAAAAGGAACAATACATGAGAGCTGGCCTCTCTTCCTAAAGGGCAAACAGCAATTGGCGTGAAATGGGTGTACAAAGTAAAGAAAAATACTCAAGGAGAAGTAGAGAAATAGAAGGCAAGATTTGTTGCCAAAGGCTATAGCCAAAAGCAAGGCATTGACTGTGATGAGGTCTTTGCCCCCATTGCTCACTTGAAAACCATTCGATTAATCATTTCCTTGGCAGCTCAAAATAAGCGAAAAATTTATCAAATGGATGTCAAGTTCGCTTTCTTGAATGGATACCTTGAAGAAGAAGTGTATGTTCAACAATCATTGGGTTATGTTGTCAAGGAACTTGAAGATAAAGTTTTGAAGTTGAAGAATGCACTATATTGCTTGAAGCAAGGGCCTAGAGCATGGTATAGCCGGATTGACAAGTATTTTCAAGATCATGGATTCATCAAATGTCCACATGAGTATGCTCTTTACGTTAAAAAGGACGCGGTTGGAGGTTTTATGTTGTGTGCTTGTACCTTGATGACTTGATCTTCACCGGAAACAATGAAAACATGTTTGATGAATTTAAGAGAATGATGGCTCAATAATTTGAGATGACTGACATTGGGCTTATGTCATACTACCTCGAAATTGAGGTAAAAGAAAATGGAGTTAACATTTTTATTTTTCAAGAAACTTATGCAAAGAAAGTTCTTGAAAGATTCAAAATGCAAAATTGCAATCCGGTGAATACTCCCATTAGGTGTGGAACAAAAATGTTAAAATATGACGAGAGCACGAAAGTGAATCCATCTCTCTATAGACAACTTGTTGGAAGCTTGAGAATTTGACTTGTACAATACCCAATATTTTTTATGGTGTTGGTCTTGTTAGCAGTTATATGGAGGCACCAACTTTAACTCACTTGGAGATTGCTAAAAAGGATATTTCGCTACATTAAAGGAATCCTTGATTATGGCTTAGCTTATTTTTCTTCTACGAATTTCAAGCTTCACAGTTATAGTAATAGTAATTGGGCTAGTAATATTAATGATCGAAAAAGCACCATTGGATTTTTGTTTTTCATGGGTAACGCCGCTTCACTTGGTGTTCAAAGAAGCAGCCCATTGTGACCTTTCTACTTGTGAAGCTGATTATGTTTCCACTGCATCGTGTGTTTGTCATGCCATTTGGCTACAGAAATTATTGGAGATGCTTCATATGCCTCAAAACGAAGCTACATCAATTTATGTTGATAATAAGTCAGCTATTGCTTTGGGTAAAAATCCTATATTCCATGATCGAAGCAAGTATATAGATACGAGATTTCACTTCATTAGAAAGTGCATTGATAACGAAGAAGTTAAGCTTGCTTATGTGAAGACCAATGATCAAGTAGCAGATATTTTTACCAAACCATTGAAGAATGATGATTTGCAAGATTGCGTACTTGGATTGGAGTTATCAATAGGGAATCAAGTTTAAGAAGGGGTGATGAAAATTAAACTTGATTCATGATGATGAAAAAATTAAATTTGATACATGAATTAGTTTATTTAATATTCATGCATTTATTTAAATCATGTATCCACATGGTTCTTTGTATCCTATTATTCATAGTATGTAGGAATAGTCATAAATTGGTCTTTTAAGTTCATACAATGTATTTGGGATACTTTGTACATATAAAAAGCCTTGTTGAGAATTCTCTGAATTTTTCTCTCTAGTCTTTCATCCCATAATTTTTTTTTATTTCCAACATTTCCAAGCACCTTACACATGAGCCCACCAAGAATTAACAACAATAATTTCAATTCAAGTAATCTAAGTTAAAATACAACCATAAAAGTAACACAAAAAAGGCCAAAAAAGGGACCTCAGCAAGGGGACCAAGGCATTGTACTCCAACATTATTGACTACAATATCTATGCGGTCGAGCTTCTCTAGAGTAATCGACAGTGCGAGACGAACACTCTTGCTGGAAGATACGTCGAGCTCTTGGAGGACGAATCACCAAGAATTAACAACAATAATTTCAATTCAAGTAATCTAAGTTCAAATACAACCATAAAAGTAACACAAAAAAGGCCAAAAAGATTCTTTTACGATAAAGATTAGTATTAAAGATTTGTTTAATTGCTGATAAAGGAACCTCAGCAAGGAGACCAATGCATTGTACTCCAGCATTATTGACTACAATATCTATGTGGTCGAGCTTCTCTAGAGTAATCGACAGCGCGAGACGAACACTCTTGCGAGAAGATACGCTGAGCTCTTGAAGGACGAATCGTGGGTCATCTTGAAAATTTGACATAACCAGGTGGTGGCCACCATTGGAAAATTCTTCGAGGCGAATGCATGGGCCAGCTCGTGGCGCATTACCACCCACATCCGGTCTATATGACTACCCGTTTCTCGTAAAGATCCATGAACATAGCAATGTTGTGGTTTTGCGAATGAACTTGATTTCTAGAGTTTCTTTTTGGTTGTGAGATTGAGTGGACACTCATTTTCAAGGAAAAATGAATTTTAGAATAGTAAATTGATGGAAAATGTGTGGATGAAAAGTTTTTAATTTATGTGTGATATTATTTTAATGAAGAATGAATGATTGAAAAGAAGAAAGATAAAAATGCATTTTTAGAAAAATGGGAACCAAACGAGGTCTGAGATTTTGAGGCAGTGATTATAAACATAGATGGTCACCCAAGTTATGGTGTTAGTTTCAGTTTGGTCACCAAACATTTTTCGATTCTAAGTTAGTCATTCTACATTTATTTTTTTATACCAATTTAGACATTCGTGTTGTAGCTAAACTGCTAACATATATATATATATGATAACAGGACAAACAAATTAATTAGTGAATCATTAAATTAATGGAACTTACCATAAACATATTTACCAATCAATTTGTGTGCCATATCATCGGTGCTTGATAAGAGTGTAAAATATAATATTTTCTCATCTTAATTATTGCATTCGTGTGATTATTTGATACAAAAATGCACTCATTATACTTATACTTTGATTCAAGTTGTAATTTGTTAGAAAATGTGAAATTTAGAAGAAAATAGCTAGAAATGACCAAAACGGAAGAAAATGAAAGTTTAGGGACCAAGTTATAAACAATCTAAAGATGAGACGGGTGATGGAATGATGATTTGAGAAAGCTAGGATTCCACTGGATGCAATTAAAAGTCAAAAGAAATTAAATATGGCTGATAAGTGTGTTTTTACACACTTATTTAGCTCACAAACATGACTTAAACATGGATAAAGTAGTTGAATTGTGACTTAATCTCGTTAAATTCATGCAATGTAGGTGTTTCTATGGAAAAGATGGAATTCAGAAGAAAAGAGCCGAAAAAGGACCAAAACGGAACAAAGCGATAGTTCGGGGACCAAAGGTGCAAATATTGGAAAATTGAGCTAAAGTGCAGAGTTAGAATGAAAATATACCAAGTATGAAATTGAGGATGATACAAGACGATTGGAGGAAGAAAGAAGTAACATTGGACTAAATTGAAGAAAAGTGAAAGATGAAGGACTAAATTGCAATTAATCAAAAGATGAGCCGAGCAAATGATCAAGGAATTGATTGACCCAAACATCAAATAGGAGTAAATATTTGATAATGGAACAAAGGAAAGAAAGAAAAGAGATTAAGAAAAGAGAAAACAGAGTTCAGGGACCAAAATGACAAGGTTGTAAAGTTACAACCTTGCGGCCGCATGTAACTATACCATGCGACCGCACATGATCTAGCAGGGATTTTTTTGGGCTGAAAATTTGAACCATGCGGCCGCATGGCTTTAAGTTCGAAAAAAAATCTGAACTTCCGTTTTTAATTGAAACTCTTTCGGCGCTCCGTGAGGACATGATATAAAAGCCAAAATTCATCAGAAATAGGGCAGAACGTCCAGGGAGAAGAAGAATACAACTTTTGGAGACAAGAAACACGAACTTGAAGTCAATTTCACAAGGATTCAAGCAGGTTTTCAAAGTTTTATTTAAGATTTCAAGAATTTTCATACGGGTGCTATTCTTTCTATTTATTAATTTCGTTTTTTCTGTAGTTATAGGTTTTCAATTACTAGGTGATCGATGAACCGTTGTTTGTTATTTTAATTCAATATTCCATAAATTTAATATAAAGACTCGTTTGGATAATTTGATTGGTTTACATGCATTAATTTTCTTCCGCAATTAGTGGTCAATGATTGTGTGAGTGTTGATGACTTATTTCTTACATTCGAGAGAAGTGGAATAGGTTCGATAAGGTGTAAATTAACATATGGTCCGATAGGGGATAGAGATATACCCCTATGCTTTATGTAATTCTTAAATTGTTCACAAAACTACATGCATTCTTGTATGTTTGCATCATTCATAGAGATATAGGCTGGTGGTGTGCAAGAATAGGTCTAATATATATCGAGAGAGTATATTGGATAGAATTAGGAACATTGAATTGGCAAATTTTCATCGAATCATTAATTTTAAGAAATTAGGGTTTTTATAACTTCAATTGGGGATTCGCGATCCTAGTGACTTTAGTTTGATTCATTTCCATAAATTAGCTTTTGAATTTGCATAATTTCATTTACTTGAGTGTTTAAGTCGTTTAATTAGAGAAATTTCGAAATTAGGGTTTCTAATTGAGAAATTAGGGTTTTCAATTGAAATTAGGATTTTTAGTTGAAATTAGGGTTTTTAATTGAAATTAGGGCTTTTTGCATTTAGACCATATTTTCACTTAATTAGATTCGGTTAAGGCTAGATTATATAGAATTGAACTACTCAATCTCTGAGGGACGATATTCGGACTTTTTAAAATCCACTTTATTACTTGTTACGAACCGTACACTTGCGGTAGTTTTAAATCGAAAGAATTATTTCGTGAACAAGTTTTTGGCGCTGTTGCCAGGGATTGAGTATTCGTTTAATTTTATTCAATTTAGCATTAATTCGAACTTTTTATTTTTAATTTATTTTAGTTCATTCTATTTTATTTCTAGTTAGTTATATTACATAAGTGCATATTTTAGTTATTTAGGTCTTTAAATTGAATTCTATTGCAGAATTGCATGCCAAGATCTGCTGAAGGAAATCTACTCCCAGCCGACCTAGAGATCGAACGAAGTTTTAGAAGAATGCAGAGAGAAAACAGAACAGCGAGAAATCAGATGGAGAACGTACAACACAATCCTGTTGTACAAGCCAATGAAAGAGGGGAAGAAGATAAAGGAAACATGCTCGTTGGAGAGTTCATGACCCCTCAAATCATTCAAAGCCAGTCCAGCATTGTGTATCCACCGTTCGGGCAGCCAAATTTCCAGTTGAAGACAAATATGATACAACTGTTCCAGAACGGACATCAGTTTTATGGAAGAATTGAAGAGAATCCACACACGCACGTCTCGCACTTCTTAGAGATGTGCCAGCACTTCAGATATCAAGGAATCTCTGACAACGCCATAAGATTAAGATTGTTTCCACATACTCTGCGGGACAAGGCGATTGAATGGCTTGATTCTCAGCCGATAGCCAGCATTACTACCTGGAATGACCTAGCTCAGAAGTTCTGTACTAAGTTCTTCCCACCGGCCAAGATTGCAAAGCTAAAGCACGACATATCTATCTTCAGGCAAGGTGAATCTGAAAATTTTGATAAGGCTTGGAACAAATTCAAAAATCTACTAAGGAAGTGTCCGCACCACGGGATTAGCAAGGGACTTCAGGTCCAATATTTTTATGCAGGGCTACTTCCAGCTTTCAAGAGCATGGTCGACTCTTCAGCTAATGGGTCATTGTCCACAAAAACAATTGATGAAGCATTGAAGTTATATGAGACAATGGCTACAACCTTAGCAATGTGGACCATGGAACAAGCAGTACCAAAGAAGACACCAAGAGTTTATAAAGTGGATGTATATTCAGCGTTATTTGCTAAGATTGATTCCTTATTTCACAAGGTTGAAAACATTACCCAGTCAGCTAATGCAGCGCAGGTGAAGAAGGCAAATTGTGAGGAATGCGGAGCTGAGCATGTGACAGCAGAATGCCCAATTTTGACACAAGGAAAAGAGCAAGCAGATTTTGCTCAATGGGGACAACGCCTGCCAGAATAATGTGTATGGAGAGACCTTCAACCCAAACTGGAAAAAGCACCCCAACTTTTCTTAGAGCAACCAAAATTAGAACAGGCCACAAGGGTAATATCAACAGCAAGAGAAGAAGCCTCAATTGGAAGAAATGTTCGGCAAATTCATGGAACAGACCAACCAATATATGGAGGCGAACAACCAATTCATGAAGAAGATAGAAGCCACTCTTCAGGACCAGAATGCAGCCATTAAGAATTTAGAAACTGAGATAGGACAGATGGCAATTGCATTAACAGGTAGAGCACCAGGCAGCCTGCCAAGTAACACAAAAGTCAATCCGAAAGAGCATACAAAGGCTATAACAACGAGAAGTGGAGTGGAATTGCTTGAGAGACAAGTGAATAATCCCGTGGCAAACGGAGAAGATGTGTCTCCTGAAGTAGAAGAGATTTTCGAGCAAGAAGAACAGACAGAAGAACCAACACCGAGAGCAAATAAAGAAAACTCAAGGGATAAAGAAACTGTAGCTGTGAACCCCTATGAGCCACCCATACCGTTCCCACAGAGGCTGAAGAAGCAAAAGATGGAACAGCAACACAAGAAGTTTCTCGAGGTCTTCAAGAAGCTCCATATCAACATCCCATTTCCTGAAGCACTGGTTTAGATGCCTAGCTATGTAAATTTCCTGAAAGACATCCTATCAAACAAAAGGAAGCTAGGAGATCACGAGACAGTTATGCTAACAGAGGAGTGCAGTACCAGGATCCAGAGAAAGCTCCCGCCAAAATTGAAAAATCCAGGGAGTTTCACTGTCCCTTATACCATTGGTGAATTTTATTTTGATAAAGCTTTATGTGATCTTGGTGCAAGTATTAACTTAATACCATTGTCTTTTTTCAGGAAATTAGGATTGGGAAAAGCTAAAGCTACCACGATGACCTTATATCTGGCTGACAGATCATTAACACATCCACGAGGAATAATTGAAGACGTGTTGGTTAAAGTGGAAAAGTTTATATTCCCAACAGACTTTCTGATTCTGGATATGGAAGAAGATAAAGATATTCCTTTAATACTAGGCAGACCATTCTTAGCCACAGACAGAGCTTTGATCGACGTTCAGAATGGGCAGTTAATACTGAGATTGGGAGAAGAACAGGTTTCATTTAATGTCTTCAAGGCCATGAAACTGCCAATAGAGACTGACAGGTGTTTCAGGGTTGACATGATTGATAAAATGATTGAAGAGTCATTTAAACTGCAAAACCCATCAGATGCATTGGAGGCTTGCATTGCATATTCTAAATCCACAAATTCTGATTCTGAAGACATAGAAATGTGTGCAAGATTTTTGGTGTCCAACCCACCATACAGGCGGAAACGATACTTTGAGGAGCTTGGGACAGGGCCAAAGAAATCATAGCCATCTATTCTGAAGCCACCAAAGTTGGAACTTAAGCAGCTGTCCCCACACTTAAGATATGCATATTTGGGGGAGTCCAATACACTTCCAGTGATAATTTCAAACATGGTTAGTGAAGTGGCGGAGGAAAAATTGCTTAGGGTGCTTCGAGATAACAAGCAAGCAATTGGGTAGACCATAGCTGATATCAAAGGGATCAGCCCTTCCTTATGTATGCATAAAGTTCTCATAGAGGAGAATTTTCGACCAACAGTTGAAAGTCAAAGAAGGCTAAACCCAAACATGAAAGAGGTAGTAAGAGCTGAGGTGATCAAACTTCTGGATGCTGGAATAATCTACCTGATATTAGATAGTAAATGGACTAGTCCAGTGCAAGTTGTACCCAAGAAAGAAGGAATTATAGTGGCTCAGAATGAAAAGAACGAGTTGATTCCGACAAGGACATTAACAGGGTGGAGAGTTTGCATTGATTACCGCAAACTAAATACTGCTACAAGGAAAGACCACTTCCCTCTTCCATTTATAGACCAGATGTTGGAGAGATTGGTAAGCCATTCCCACTACTATTTTCTAGATAGGTATTCAGGTTATAATCAGATAGCAGTGGCACCGGATGATCAGGAGAAGATCACTTTCACATGTCCCTATGGTACCTTTGCATACCTAAGAATGTCATTTGGACTTTGCAACGCTCCTGCTACATTTCAACGATGCATGATGGTAATTTTCTCAAATATGGTAGAGAAATTCATTGAAATCTTTATGGATCACTTCTCTGTCTTTGGGACCTCATTTGATGAGTGTTTGGATCACTTAAATTTGGTTTTGCAAAGATGCAGAGAAACGAACTTAGTATTGAACTGGGAGAAATATCATTTCATGGTTCAAGAGGGAATAGTCTTGGGACGTAGAATATCGGCAAAGGGGATAGAGGTGGATAAGGCGAAAATTCAGGTTATTGAGAAATTACCACCACCTACATCAGTAAAAGGAGTTCGAAGTTTCCTTGGGCATGCAGGATTTTACAGGAGGTTTATAAAGGATTTCTCTAGAATGACCAAGCCTCTGTTCAACTTGCTAATGAAAAAAGTATCTTTTGAGTTTAATGAGGAATGCTTGATAGCGTTCAATACTTTGAAGGAAAAACTCACAACAGCGCTTGTGATTGTGTCACCTGATTGGGATTTGCCTTTTGAGCTAATGTGCGATGCGATTGATCATGCAGTTGGTGCGGTATTGGGACAAACAAAGAATAAAATCTTTCATGTGATATACTATGCAATTAGAACTTTGAACGATGCCCATATCAACTATGCTACGACCGAGAAGGAATTGCTAGCTGCGGTTTATGCATTCGACAAGTTCAGATTGTATCTTGTTGGGTCTAAGATTATCGTCTACACAGATCATGCTGCTCTGAAGTATCTTATGACAAAGAAGGATGCTAAGCCGAGATTGATCCGTTGGATATTATTGTTGCAAGAGTTTGATATTGAGATCAAGGATAAGAAGGGCAGTGAAAATGTGGTAGCCGACCACCTATCAAGATTGGAACGGGATGAACCTGAGATGTTAGTTGACATCAATGAAATCTTTCCAGATGAGCAAATTTTTGGAGTAGAAATAGTCCCATGGTACGCTGATATCTTTAACTACCTTGCTAAGTCCATCCCGCCACCAGACTATTCTAGCCATCAAAGAAAGAAGTTCTTCGCAGAGCTGAAGTATTACTTTTGGGAAGATCCTATTCTCTACAGAAGAGGCGCAGATCAGATAATCAGAAGATGTATTCTTGAAGATGAAATACCTAAGATTCTAGAACATTGTCACTCTTTTGCATATGCTGGGCATTTTGGAGCTTCAAAGATTGCTGCAAAGATACTACAGTCGGGTTTCTATTGGCCTACTTTATTCAGAGACACGTTCGAGTATGTGAAGAGATGCGATAAATGTCAACAAACTGGAAATATCTCAAGAAGAAATGAGATGCCACTAAATTACATCTTGGAGGTTGAAATATTTGATGTATAGGGAATAGACTTCATGGGACCTTTTCCCCCATCGTACTCAAATCAATATATCTTGGTGGCCGTTGACTATGTCTCTAAGTGGGTGGAAGCTATTGCATTGTCTACTAATGACGCGAAAGTGGTGATAGAGTTCTTGAAGAAGTACATATTCACAAGATATGGTACACTGAGGGTAATAATAAGTGATGGAGGCAAACACTTCATAAATCGTCAATTAGAGCAGCTGTTGAACAAATATGTGGTAAAATATAAAGTAGCAACTCCATATCATCCACAAACCAATGGGCAAGTTGAAGTTTCGAACAGGCGGTTAAAGAGAATACTGGAAGTTACAGTGAACTCATCCCGAAAAGATTGGTCTAAGAATTTGGACGATGTACTGTGGACATACAGAACAGCATTTAAGATACCAATAGGAATGTCTCCATACCGCCTGATTTTTGGGAAAGCGTGTCATCTACCATTGGAGTTGGAGCATCGAGCATATTGGGCTATGAAACAGTTGAATATGGATCTCAAACCTGCTGGTGAAAAACGACTGCTACAACTTAATGAATTGGATGAGATGAGAATGGAAGCTTACGAGAACTCAAAGTTGATCAAAGAGCGCACCAAGAGATGTCATGATTTAAACATTCAGAGGCCAGAGTTTGAAGTTGGGCAGAAAGTGTAATTGTACAATTCTAGACTCAAACTCTTCCCAGGAAAGCTAAGAACAAGGTGGTCGGGTCCCTATACCATAACTAAGGTGCCATAACTAAGGTGATGCAATATGGGGCTATTGAAATGAGTCACGAGACCAAAGGCACTTTCATCGTCAATGGGCAAAGGCTGAAACACTATTGGGGCTGTAATTTTCCTAAGCAGAAGTCCACTGTGCAACTCAACAACCCAACGTGAAGAAGATGCAGGAAAGTCGAGCTATCGACCATAAACTAGCGTTGGGTGGGAGGCAACCCACTGTATCCTTCAATTTATTTTATTGCATTTGTTTAGAAATTTGTTTACATTTCGTATGTTTTATCAAGTCATCGATCATTCACACATGATAGTTTAGGCACTACACGTTTATAGTTGCATGAGTCGGGGATAAAGAAAGTGTTTTGAGTGTTCGAGTGTGAAGTAATGAATTTCATGGTTCAAAGTCGTTCGTTTTATTTTTCGAGTTTTTAAAAAAAAAATAATATATCGAATATGTAGAGTCGAGTCAATTTTGAAATTGAAAACCAATTTCAGGGATTTTTTTTTTTTAATTTCAAGGTGTGTTTGGGGTATAATTGTAAGTTTGCTTTAGTTTTAAAAAAAACAAAAAAAATTGGCTTGGTCCATGCGGCCGCATGGACAAATCGAAAATTAAAACCCCAAATTTCCTACACCATGCGGCCGCATGGTGTATAAGTGATAGGTATTAACCTGTCACTTGCCATTACAACCCACTAATTTTTTCTTTTTTTTCCCAAACTCACTCTCACACGAACACCCCAATTTTCCTCCCTCAAATTCACCTTCACATACAATAAATCACCGACACACTTATCATTATTCACATCATTGACATTGTTATCAAGAAA